GCATTATCCTGCCCATGTAATTGTAACCCCTCTGTACAGTATGTTCACAAATAAAATTAAATTAAATTAAAAAAAAGAAAGACTAAGTCAAAGCTCAACAAAATAAGTACCAGGAAATGGGTACTTGCAAGAGGTGGAATGGGGCCAAGGGGACAGGGGTAGATAAATGAAGGAATGAAGTGGGAGAACGAAGTCAAGAATTCATTGTAATGAGTACATTTCTTGCTCATGTAAGTATAACCCCTCTCTATAGCATCTTACCATAAAATAATTTTTAAAGAATTCATTGTACATACTACAAAATATTTTACAAAGGAAAGGAAATGTTGGCTCAAAGTGGGTGAAAATGTTGAAGGGATGACACAGATCAAGATGCATTGTATGCATAGGCTGCTTTGTTAAGTGGCAAAAATAATCCAATACATAACCTAAAGAATTAAGAAAAGTGAAGGAAGGAGTGGGTGGGGAGGGAAGGGTGATAGTGAAAGGGATGATATTGATTGACATGCACTGTATTCATCAACTGTTTTGGTTTTTTTGTACATTTTTTATTGTAAAAACATTGTACAGAGGAATTACAGTTACACGAGCAAGGTAATGAGTACATTTCCTGTCAAGCATTGTTGTCTCCTCCTTTGTTTTTCCCCTACCATCCCTTCCCTCCCACTTCCACAACTACACCTCCCCACAAAGTTGTGAAGTTTGTTTTCAACATTCATCAACTGCTTTGTTGAATGGCAAATATTGTACTATCATTTAAAGATTTTATATATATATATATATATATATATATATATATATGTATATTAAACCTACATGCCTGTCACAGAGTCTAATTTTCAGTCCACAAAAATAGTGTGGCTTAGTGGCTAATGGCCAGAAATAGCTTCCAAGGTCAGTACAAAGAATGAATGGATAAGGAAGCTCCTCTCAGAAAACACAGTCCAGGTCAAATAAAAGATTGTTCTCCATCATTGTTCATCACAGACTGCTCTGTATTTCTCTCTTTCTTAATTGAGTTTATCTTCTAGGTTTCTTAGCCATTCCTCACTGTGCAGTTAGTATCAAGATCCTATGGAGAGAGAGCTGTATATCACTCATAGTCTTGGACTTTGAGTTAACAATAGTACTATATGAGACTATGTTCTCCTTTGGGAAGAAGAGTATTCTGGAGGCACAGGGAAGACCATGAAGACACTGACCATCCACTAAGATTTGTGCCTTTTGTTCTATGATAGCGAAAAGGCTGATTAGCTCACAACTACAATTCTTAAGTCCTTCCTCCTGTCTAGGTAAAAAATCATACAAAAATAACACATCTTTGTGGCATATGATTAGAATTGTAATGTGCAACTTCCAATCTAAGGCTTTTAAAGCCAGGAGAATTTTTGTTTGCCATCCCTGTCTCTTTCTGGTAGCTGGATGCAGATGATAAACAGCCCTGAAGGAATAGTAGAGTCTTTAGTTGGACGAAACATGGAGAAAAACTCACTGACCGTGAACATTCACCTTGTACTGTTATATGCTCAAAAGAACAAACATTATTCAGTCACTGAAAAATAAAATTTGTTAGATACAATAGTTATAGATCTTGAGAAAAGAACATCTACTTCTTGGGGCTGCAGTTATTTATTTATAAAGTGGATGATTGGATAAGATAACCATCAATACTCCTTAGGAACTCCAAAATGATAGATTTCTACCTAATAACATAGGAATAAGCATGAGTGATACTTAGGTAATCCATACACAAGACTCCAATAAAATGTCTGAATTCTTCCATCCAAGAACATTAGGGAATTATCACACTGACAGCAAGGCAACTTCTCCTTACCTGTGTGGTAGGGCACTGTAGGTTTACCATGATGGCAGGACTGGCACATCTGAACAGATTAAAATAGAACAAAATGGGCTTCTTCCTTTTAAAAAATAACAAAAAATAATTTTTAGTGACCACAAAAATGTGCTGCAACGTGTCAAACTTCAAACCCTTTTAACCTTTGACCTTTAAAAATTAGCTCTCTTTTCTCTAGACAGTAATTTTTGTAATTATACAAGGTTGAAATAATTAAATTATCTGTAAGAAATTGACTAAACACAAAACTGTATATTCACAAATAGAAGGATCATGTTGCTACTAATAATCATGCAAAAGAACATGTTTAATATATGGAGAAATTCATAATACATTAATTTTAGGAAGTAGATTACTAAAGATTATTAAAATATAACTTTTAATTTTTGAAAACAGGTGTAACAAATTACATGTACAAAGAAATTATTATGTCTAAATCTTATGATGGATTTTCTAAAAAAAACATGGATTGTTTTAGCAATCTGAAAAAGGTAACTAAATTGAGTAATATTTCCCCGGGGAGTCACTAGCTTTCAATGGATTATTATTCTGCCATTTGACAAGTTAATGTCCTTTTGAATCTCAGTTTCTTTGTAATACTAACCCTACCTATTTCACAGTGGTATTGGAAGGACATAAGATAAGGTCTAGTCCACAAATATTTATTCAATACAGTACACATAAATAAAACTTACAGTGTTCATTAAAAATCCTGATTACTGACTCTCAGTCCCTAAGAGCCTAGGAACTAGCATGGTTTCACCCTGTGCTCCAGGGGATCCAAGTGATCTCTAAACTACATCTTAAGAATTACAGACCTAACCACTGAGGAAGAATGTTCCCAGTACCTTCATATCAAATCCCCAAGCAATGAAAGGGACTTAAATCATAGTACGATAAGGAGTCAAGTAAATGAGTTTGAGCCTCCTGGACTCTGAGTGACAATGAAAGACTACAGAAGTGACTCCAGAAGAGACTCCAGAAGACTACAAGGAATGGAGCTAGAGGAATTTGGAGCAGGGAAAACCATTCATATCAAACAATTTATTAAGTGAGGACTCAAAAAACTCCTTCTCTTCTCCATAAGAGAGTCAGCTTGTGGGTGCTTACTCCCAAGGGAACTGATGGCCAGTCAGTTAGGTCTTAGCCACAGTAACCAACAACCATATGGAATTGGGGTAGTGACCATCAAAGAAAAGGAAAGAGATCCTTCCTTTGCCTTCTATCCCTCACACCTTGATAAAGAGAGCATCACAAGGGGAGGGAAAAGAATTGGAACTGCCAACCAGACTCTTTTCCCCTGCTCCAAGTTCTTTTACAGAGTTGAACCTGAACTGAGAGGCTAGCAGAAAAGAGCATGAATTTTTTTTTTTACTAATTGTTACATTAATTTTTTTGAAACCATGAGGTCTGAACTTGGGGCCCTGTGCTTATTTTTTACAGGGGCTTTACCATTTGTGCCATGCCCTTAGCTCTTTGTTTTGCTATACTTATTTTTGGAGAAAAATCACATTTTTTTCATGAGCTTCTTTGGACTAAGATCCTTGCCTCCTGCATAGCTGGAGTGACAAGCATTCAACACCATACCCATCTTATAGGTTGAGATGGAAGTCTTAATAATATTGCAATTCAGCTTGGCTTTGAGTTGTGATCTTCTAGATCTCTACCTCTTGATTAAGTGAGATTACAGGCATGAACTATGGTCTCACGCTGGGATTATACTAAAATTTTTAACAATGAAGAATATCTGGAAAATTGTATAGTCTGCCTAAGATATCAAAGCTCAAGAAGGAAAAGATTTGAAAGAGTATGTTAAAGGCAATGGTAAAAAGAAAATAAACCTGTTTCATGTTTATATCCCATTAAATTCAAATGGCTTGGTCAGTTGGTTATAAATCCAAACACAATATGTGCTCGGCTACCTAGAGAGCCACAAGTGTCAGTCACCACTCAGGCAACAAAACCATCCACACAACCACACCATGCATGGGATTCAAATCTGTACCTATGAAAATGAAAACATTATTACATACCATGGATCATTGGGTCCCTTAAGAGGAGTTAAAACTGTTGCCCATAAATCAAGAATCCACCATAGGTAAAACTGATTTATAAACTGTAAAATGCTACATAAATTCAAGTTATTCACCAGACTATGTTATCCTCAGGGTATGGCTAAAACCTTATCCATCTTTTTATTCCCACCTCCCTAAAATGTAGCCTAGGGTCTAGTCCATTCTAGACACTTATCAAATGTGGAAGGAATGAGAGTAATTGCAGAGTAAGTATTTTTCCCAAATTCTTAGAATTCTCTCTGATATTTTTCAGCAAAAACATATAACCATTCTCCCAGTCTCTCTGATCTCCTGTAACTTCACAGGACCTCAGATTCATCAGTTACAAAGTAGATGGTGATAGTTCAGATGAGCAATGATAAGGCTATGGTTGAGGAAGTAACTTTATTTCCACCAAAAAGTTTAAAATCTAAAAGCAAACACAAACTGTAAGTTCATATTTTGTAGTGAACTTTAAACCCCATGTCTCTTGTGGAGATTCATAAAAATAAAATACTGCAAGTGAAAGCAATGCATAAACCTTATTGCACTAGCTAAAGATAGAAAGCATGGTATTTGTTCCCATTTGCTCAACATTTCAACAATTTCTGGTTGGAGTGCATAAGGAACAGGGTGATAGAAAGAGTAGGGCGAGATTGGCCCATTAGAAATCACAAAAAATACAGAACACAGGACAGGAAAAGCAGGGAGATGGATTAAAAGTTAACATAGAGCTTGGCGCTGGTGGCTCATGCCTGTAATCCTAGCTATTCAGGAGGTTGAGATCTGAGGATCATAGTTCAAAGCCCACCCAGGCAAGAAAGTCCATGAGACTCTTACTTCCAATTAACCACCAGAAAATTGGAAGTGGTACTGTGGCACAAAATGGTAGAGCACAAAGCCTTGAGCAAAAGAATTCAGGGACAGTGTTCAGGCCCTGAATTCAACCCCCAGGACCAGCAAAAAAAAAAAAAAAAAAAAAGGCTAACATAGAAGCCTCTAGTACAAATCAGAACCTTTGTACTTTTCTAGTATCCAGACATCTAGAATTCCCAGGCTTCAGGAAAAGGATACGCCTTTTTGTTAAATAAACCCTCTCCCTCTAAGAATAATGAAAGTTTTTGTGAGATTTGTCATCCCACCTCCAATCTGTCATATTCTGAAAGTCACTTCCTGGCATCTGATCTTCTATGAACTCATGACCTACAGAAATCTGATCACTGCAATAGCCTTCTTGGAAAACTATCTCACCAACAAATCTGTACAAGCAACTTAGTACTATTTCTTTAGTAAGAATTGATAGTCAATAAGCATCAAGAGTATAAAAAGGAACCAGAAACAAAGAGAAATGTTATAGTAAACAAAAACTGATGTGGAATAAAATTGATATTATTCAGGACATAGAAAATTCCTTCAAAATAGCATCAATATATTTAGAACCATTTATGCAGATTTTCCACAAAAATGTGGTATTACTATAACATCATATGTGATATTATTATAAAGGGATAATGGAAAACAAGAAAGAGCTTAGAATAAAATTATAAATGTCAACACTAAAAGCTAAGTCTGGAAAAAAATGAGAAAACTAGAAAACAGTTTAAAAAGAAGAAGGAAAATACAGAGAAAAAAAAGCACTAACTGAGTTGAATCCAAGAAGCCTATGGTATGACTAATCCTTTCAATAGAGAACTAATAATACACTACACAAAGGTTGAAGGCAACAAAGAAATAATGGAAGAAAAATTTTCCAAAACTAACGGGAGTCATATTTTTTCAGAATTAGAAGTTTGAACAAAGGATTGAACAAAAAGATTTAAAAGGCAGTGTGAGATTTCAGAACATCAGTAATGAAGAAATGATTTTAAACACTTCCCAAAGTTAAAAAGTCACTTCAAGGGTTGTGATTCTGACAAGCATTAATGAATACCCAAATCGCTGCAGTACTGTCTTTAAATTTCTGAGTGGAATTTTCTTTCTAGGTACAATTCTTTTTTGTTTTTTTAAATTTAATTTAAATTTTTTATTTATTGTGAAAATACTGTACAGAGGGGTTACAATTACATGGGCAAGATAATGAGTACATTTCTTATCAAGCATTGTAGCCTCCTCCTTTGTTTCCTCTTCCCATCCCATCCTCCCCCCTAAACTCTCCTCCTCCCCCCCACCAAAGTTGTAAAGTTCATTTTCAACATAACGACTTGTACTTCTCATTGTTGCAATGGGTCCACCTGTATCCCAGTTTAAACTATTTGTTTTTTCCCTTCCCTCTATAGCTAAACAGTTCATCAAATGGAGAAAGGGAAATGAATTAAAAAGTCTATCCCAGGAATTCTGCAAGTTTACTTCTTGTGCTTTCTTTTCTCAGTAAAATGACTTGAGGATGGTTTGTAGATAAAAGAGGAGCCTTGGAGTATAGGAAACAGTAAATAAGATACTCTTATACTAAAAGTATGATTTGCTTTTTCTTTGAAGTTTAATTGGGCACTCTGTGTTTTTAGTTGCTAAATCTGATAACAATCCAGTCTAGTGAGGTAGAGAATCTTCAGAATTAAAGCTAGGTAAGAGACCTACAATTTAACAGGTCCTGAGTCAAGTAAAACAAAACAGGCCTTCAGAGAAAAGAGACCCCTGAAAAGCAGTGTATTTAAAATGGTGGGAAACATGTAGCCCTGCCTGGGTGTGAAGGCACATAGTCTAATCCCAGCTCTTGGCAGGGTAAGGCAGGAGGTCCATGCCAAGTCCATGCCAGTCTGGGGGTCTTTATATTGTTTGGATGAAGGCTGTTCCAGATAAAATTTACAAGCAAAAAATAAATTAGGGCAATTAAACCTAATTGCCCTACGTTGAAGTGAGTTTGAGTGAGATGCTCCCATGTAACTATTAACATACCAGGTTTGATTTTTTTAATATCAGAAATGTGACAAAAATTAAATATAGTGGTCTGGTAATCAATAAAAATTATATACTTAGGATAAAATTTAAATACCCTTTCTTGTTTCTAACTTCT